GGGGGGGGAGGGTGTGTTGGGCAGAGCCTTTCTGACCCCGCCCCCATCACCAGTTTTGGGAGGTGATCAGCGATGAACATGGTATCGACCCCACCGGCACTTACCACGGCGACAGCGACCTCCAGCTTGACCGCATCAGCGTCTACTACAACGAGGCCACCGGTATGGTGTCACCCTGTCACCCCTCTGTCCCCATCACCCCTCCCCTCATCCCTCTCCACCCGAGACCTGACATGCTCAGCTTGCCCATTCCACTCCCCACACCCTCCCCCCCCTACCTCCACCTTTTTGGGTTTTGGGATGTTTTATGGGGGTTTTGGTGGGGTGGGGAGGTGACGCAGTTGTCACTGTCCCCACCCCGGTGACATGGTGATGTCCCCAGGGGGTAAGTACGTGCCGAGGGCCATCTTGGTGGACCTGGAGCCGGGCACCATGGACTCTGTGCGCTCGGGACCCTTCGGGCAGATCTTCCGGCCAGACAACTTTGTTTTTGGTGAGTTCCCGTGTCACCTCTTGTCCCCCCATGTCCACCATGCCACCTCCTTCCTTGTAGGTGACCCCGGGATATCCCATCATGGCAGGGTGGCAGTTCCTCTCACTTGGCTGTGAAGCTCCTCCTGGTGGCCACCTTTAGGTGATCATCACCATGGGGTGGGGTGGTGGGTCCCCGCTGTCCTCAATATGGTGGCCTATGGGTGCCAGTCCCAGTGGAGTGACCCCTCACTCCTTGATGGCCCTCACAGGGGGGTGGCAGGTCCTTACTGTCCCCTTCTTGGTGGCCAGGGTGTCTCATTGTGTCCCCAGAGCTGCAACCCTTGGATTCTGGGAGGGTTATTTGGGTCCCCAAAGGGGTCAGGGATCCCCAAATCGGGGGAATGGGGGTCCTCTAGGAGACGGGTGTCTCTTAGGAGCTCAGGGTGCCCATGGGTGGGATGGAGATACCTAAAGAGAACAGTGGAGGTCCATGAGGACCTTAAGGGTGGGCTGGATGTCCCCAGGAAAGGTAACAAGAGGTTCTCAGTGCTTGGAGGTCCCCAAAAGGAGTGATGGTGGTCCCCAAGGAGCTTCAGTGTGGACTGGAGGTCCCCAAGAGTTGGACAGAGGTTTCTGACGTGCTCAGGGTACCCAAGGTTGGCATGAAGATGGAGATGGGGGGTGGTTCTCTTCTCCACCACTTGGAGATCTTAAAGGAGGAGGATAGAGGTCCCCAAGGGTCAGGTAAAGGTACCCTGCAAGCGTGATGGAGGTGCTCAAGGTTCTTGAAGGTGGGAGGGGGGTACCCAAGGTCCTCAGGTTTGGCTTGGAGATAGGCAAGAACAAGAATGAATGTCCCCAAGGCCCTTAGTGTTCTGAAGGCTTTACTGGATGTCTTCAAAGATGGTGATGGGTGTCCCCAAAGAGCATAAAGTCCCCAGGGAGGCTGATAGAGGTCCCTAGAGGTGGGATGGTGTCCCCAGGGGTTTGTTAGATGTCTTCAAAGACAGTGATGGATGTCCCCACACATGGGTTGGATGCCCCCAAGGAGCTCGGGGTCCTCGGGGATTGACTGGGCATCCTCAAGAGTGTTGGTGGGCGTCCCCAAGATGGGCCCGGAGATAGGCAAGAAGAGCAGTGAAAGTCCTCAAGGCCCTTAAGCGTTCTCAGGGCTTTGCTGGATGTCTTCAAAGATGGTGATGGATGTCCCCAAGGAGCATGAAGTCCTCAAGGGTGGGCTGGAGGTCCCCAAGGAGCTCAGGGTCCCAGGGGTTTGGCTGCACATCCCCAAGGGTGTTGATGGATGTTCCTACAAGGCTGGGATCAGGGTGCCCAAGGTGACGAAGGTTGGTTTGGATGTCCCCAGAGGTGGGATGGAGGTCCCCAAGGTCCTCAAGACTTGCCTGGGAATAGGCAAGAAGAACACTTAAGGCTTCCCAAGGCCTTTAGCATCCTCAGAGATTTGTTTGATGTCTTCAAAAATAGTGGTGGATGTCCCCAAGGAGCATAAAGTGCTCAAGGGTGGACTGGAGGTCCCCAAGGAGCCTAAGGTCTCCATATATGGGCTGGAGGTCCCCAGGGAGCTCAGGGTCCCAAGGGTGTTGGTGGAGACCGACCCCCAAGCTTGCCCTGGACGTAGGCAAGAAGAACAGTGGAGGCCCCCAAGGCTGTTAGGGTCCTCAGGGGTTTTTTGGATGTCTTTGAAGATGGTGATGGATGTCCCCAAGGAGCATAAAGTCCTCAAGGGTGGGCTGGAGGTCCCCAAGGAGCTCAGGGTCCCCAGGATTTGGCTGCACATCCCCAAGGGTGTTAATGGGGTTCCCACAAGGTGGGCTGGGGGTCCCCAAGCTGATGAAAGTTGGTTTGGTGGTCCCCAAAAGTGGGATGGAGGTCCTCAAGGTTGGCCTGGAGGTAGGCAAGAAGAACAGTGAAGGTCCCCAAGGGTTTGGTGGATGTGTTCAAAAGTGGTGATGGATGTCCCCAAGGAGCAGAGTCCCCAAGAGTGGGCTGAAGGTCCCCAAGGAGCTCAGGGTCCCCCGGGTTTGACTGGACATCCCCAAGGGTGTTGCTGGAGGTCCCCATAGTCCCTAGGGTTGTCCTGAAAGCCCCCCCCCCACCTCCCAAGACCTCAGTTTCCCCTGGGGAGCTACTCCATGACGTCCCCACCGTGTCCCCTGTCGTCCCCCCTCCCCAGGCCAGAGCGGCGCTGGCAACAACTGGGCCAAAGGTCACTACACGGAAGGGGCCGAACTGGTGGACTCGGTCTTGGACGTGGTGAGGAAGGAAGCGGAGAGTTGTGATTGCCTCCAGGGCTTCCAGCTGACCCACTCGCTGGGCGGCGGCACCGGCTCCGGCATGGGCACCCTCCTCATCTCCAAGATCCGTGAGGAATATCCCGACCGCATCATGAACACCTTCAGCGTCGTCCCGTCCCCCAAGGTCTCGGATACGGTGGTGGAACCCTACAACGCCACCTTGTCCGTCCACCAGCTGGTGGAGAACACGGACGAGACCTACTGCATCGACAACGAAGCCCTCTACGACATCTGCTTCCGCACCCTCAAGTTGACCACGCCCACCTACGGTGACCTCAACCACCTCGTCTCGGCCACCATGAGCGGCGTCACCACTTGCCTCCGTTTCCCCGGTCAACTCAACGCCGATCTTCGCAAGTTGGCCGTCAACATGGTGCCCTTCCCGCGTCTCCATTTCTTCATGCCCGGTTTCGCTCCCTTGACCTCCCGCGGCAGCCAACAGTACCGTGCCCTCACCGTCCCCGAGCTCACCCAGCAGGTCTTCGACGCCAAAAACATGATGGCCGCCTGCGACCCGCGTCACGGCCGGTACCTGACGGTGGCGGCCGTTTTCCGAGGCCGCATGTCCATGAAGGAGGTGGACGAGCAGATGCTCAACGTGCAGAACAAGAACAGCTCTTACTTCGTCGAGTGGATCCCCAACAACGTCAAGACGGCCGTTTGCGACATCCCGCCGCGCGGCCTCAAGATGGCCGTCACCTTCATCGGCAACAGCACGGCCATCCAGGAGCTCTTCAAACGCATCTCGGAGCAGTTCACGGCCATGTTCCGCCGCAAAGCCTTCCTCCACTGGTACACGGGTGAGGGGATGGACGAGATGGAGTTCACCGAGGCCGAGAGCAACATGAACGACCTCGTCTCGGAGTATCAACAGTACCAAGATGCCACCGCCGAGGAGGAGGAGGACTTCGGTGAAGAGGCCGAAGAGGAGGCCTGAGGGGATTGGTCATCCTCGGAGAGCCCTCATCATCCTCGGAGAGCTCCTCGTCCTTCAGTGTTGTCCTTGGAGAGCCCTCGTCCTTCCGCCGTCATCGTCTTCGGAGAGCCCGCGTCCTTCACCGTTGTCCTTGGAGAGCCCTCAGCCTTCATCATCCTCGGAGAGTCCTTGTCCTTCGTCATCCTCCTCAGCCTTCATCAGCGTCCTCGGGGAGCCCTTTGATCTTCATCGGTGTCCCCGGAGAGCCCTTGGTCTTGCTGTTGGCGCCAGAAAGCCATCGTCATCGGAGAACCCATGGCCTTCATCGCTTGTCTTCAGAGCGCCCTTGGCCTTCACTGCGGTCCTTGGAGAGCTCTTGGCCTTCATCATCATCCTCAGAGAGCTCCTGCCCTTCTTCGTCACCAGAAAGCCCTCACCCTTTGTCACTGTCACCAAAAAAGCTCTTGGCCTTCACCGTTGTCACCAAAAAGCTCTTGGCCTTCATCATGGTTGTCCTCAAAGCCCTTGGCCTTCGCTGTTGTCACTGGAGAGCCCTTGGCCTTCATCATCATCCTCGAAGAGCCTTCAGCCTTTGTCATTGTCCACGGAGAGCCCTCGGTCTTCACCGGCGTCACCAGAGAGTCCTCGTCCTTCATCATGGTCACTAGAGTCCACCATCATCATGGAAGAGTCCTTCGTCATCGTCCCCGTCCTTCATCCTGGTCACTAGTCCTTCCTCATCGTCACCGGAGAGTCCCAGTCCTTTATCATGGTCACTGAAGAGTCCTTCACCATAATGATTGTCACCAGAGTCCTCGTCCTTCGTCATCGTCGCCTGAGTCCATCATCATCAC